TCTTTCCCTCCTGCACAGTGCTGGCAAAATTAACTTTCCAAAACAACAAATCTTGGACCAACTTGCAATGCTTGAAAACTTCTGCGGCTCTTAGTTGTGTATTGCTTGTGAAATTCCCACCTCTTCACTTTGTATTCAGTGCCCTGCCCAACACCGGCCTAACCTCTTCTCCAAAATACCAGAGAGGCAGTGAATTTAAATGGTTAAGAGTGTGGGCTAAGATTCCAGCTCCACCACCTACTAATCTACCAAACAACTGACCTGAGAGATTTGGGCCTTGGTTTTCTCACCTGTTAAATGGGACAATAATAGAGCACCCAATCAAAGGGTTGTGGTGAGGATTAAGCTAGTTATTAGATCAAAAGTATTCAGAGTCATTACTGGTACACAATAAAAAATGCGACTTTCTCCTGCCATAAGCCATGAACCTGAGTCACGTCAATCTGCTCCTTCTTCCCTAAACAAGCCATGCTTTTCACACTCCCCTGCCTTTTCCACATGGGCTGTTTTTTAAATCTACCACTGACTCACCATGACTGTATACGTTTATTAATGTGCAGTTCTTTACAGCAGAAACTGTAGCTTTAGTTCTTCATATGTTATGGTATGCTGATTCACTTGATAAATATTAAACCAGGATCATTACCTAAAATTAGTCATTTTAATAGTTTATACTTGCATAAGAATGTTCAAGGTGGCCCTTTAAAGTTCATTTGTTTTTCTTTTTCTGTTTACTTAAATGCTGACTTCTAAGAATAACTGAAGGATTAGAAAGCTTTCTCCTCCCCAATTTTGCAGGCTCTCATCATCCACCTACTCCTTTCTCATCATCATTTATAACAATAATGCCATAAATACTGACCCCAGGGCAGTTAAAGTGATCCTTAAATACTGCATAAAATATAGGGGTTATTATTACTACTAGCAATACTGACAGATCTTGCCTCTGCCAGTAATTACTGGCAGGAACGTGTCCAATAACACGGAGACACTGTTTTCTCTGTGTCCCTCCCGACCCCGCCTGGGAGAAATGTTGAATTTCACAGGTTAGGGACAACATATTCTCTCTCTCAACTGGAACCAGGCGGAAAATAAATGTCTAAGTTGGAAATAAAAATACATTGGTGGGTAACTTGAAGTCTGGAATATTCTGAGGGCTTGGGAGGTTTAGGTAGTTTGCCCAAGGGGTAGAATCTGATCAATTCAAGGATACTGGGTTCTCAGAAGCCTAAGAAAGGCAGGTAGAAAAGGTTGCCTTTCAACACATCACCTGGGGCAAGTCTCATACCTATGAAGGACACCTGCCTGCAGGACCTAGATCCTTCCCCATGTGCACTCTCCTAGTATAGTTCCATCATATTATGGGCTAGGTAACCATTAATTATACTGTGTCCTGGCTTAGGAACAACCATCACATACAATGTTGTTTCAATGGGAAAATATATCCCCAGTCTAAACAACTGGCTTACAGAAGACTTTTTGGAAAATGTCTCATTCATAAGGTAGGGACTACACAGTGTTGGAATTAGTCCCTCTGGAGAGGATTGGCAAGTATTGTGTCCTAAGTTTTGAGGGAGAAAGAAGCCAACCTCTTTGAAATGAGTAATGTAGGCTACTTGGCCAAACGCTCAGATCCAAATCTGGGTGAAGCAATTACAAGTAACAGGAAGCGGCAAGATGAGAAATGGAAGTGACCGGAGGCTGAGGGGCTGGAGTCAGACACAGCGAGGTGCGAGAACCGGCTGCGGGGGGCAGCCCGCTTCCTCTGCCAGCTCTTCCCCCAACAGCCCAGGGCCGGCTCCTTGTCACTATTTCCACCTACGCTCCGTATCACCACCTCAGAGTGCCTTCCCAGACTACCCACTGTGAGACAGCCTTACCCTCAGCCTGATATTTTTTCTTCTCTTCATGGCACTTAGCGCGATCTCAAACTGCCTTATTGCTTCTTTACTGCCTGCCTCTCCCTAAAAGACCAAAAACTCCACGAGGAGTTTCACTTGCGTCACGCTTGCTAGTGTGCACCCAGGCCTAGCACAGTGTGTGCCACAGGGAAGACACACAACACAACACACATTTGTTGAACGAACAGGGCTGTAGTACGAGGATTCAGTAATGCAATAAAGGAATAAATGATCCATCCACCTACCTACATATCTATCTACCTACTTACTGACCTCCTTATCTGCGTCTGGAACAGCATCTCTACACAGCAGCCCTTAATAAATATTATAGAAGAAGCGAAACAGAGGATGATACTGCTATGAATCAGCAAGTGTTTAATGAAAAACAGGAGAAACCAGGAGCATAAGACACAGTCCTTCCAGGAGGCAGAGCAAAACTCAGCTCAAGACTGAGAGCAGCCTGAGCGCTGACTTAAAGTCTGCAAATAGGTGGGAGCAGTGATAAGATTCGATAAATGTCTTTAGTCAGTGTTCTGAATTTACAGAAAACTGGAATCCACCTAACACTATGCTGATCTTGACAATGTGGGCAGAGCAGAGAACGGCTCTGCATCTTCTCCTACAAAGTCGACAAAAGGCTTCTGGTCCCCCTTGTCTCACAGGGGAGTGTGGGGAGGGAGGTACCCAGAGGCCCTCCCCACATGTTCACCCTGGAGGCAGCCACGCCACGCTTGCTCCCCTGCCTTTGCCATGAGAAGGTGGAAGCAACCAAGACCAAGGTTATGCCACCTCCTTTCTCGGCCGTGTTGCAATGACACCTGTGGTCACAGCACACACATTTTGGGAAAAAGACTGAAGAACAAGACCTTTCAGGTCTCTTTCAGCATTGCGTTTCCATGAAATCTTATCTGTACAGGGATTCAGAAAATGAGTCAACTGCCTTTGCAATTTTTTGAGTATAGAGTTCTTTGACTCATACTTAAAAGTTGGGAAAGACAATATTTACTTAAGATAGCGGTTTTCAAACTATTTTTTAAGTGGCAGGCTACTTTTCTGTAAACGGAGTTTTACATGGACCCTTAACACATTAAAAAGATCAGTGGGGTGTGGTGAGGGGTCGGGATCTGCCCTCTCAGCCTCCCCTGCGCCCTGACATCTCTGAGGAGCACAACTGGTTTAAGTGGAAAGGAAGTTAATATTTAGATAAATAAAGAGATGAATGGGGAAGGAGGGCAGGCTTTCCTTAATGTGAGGAAAGACGGAGTGGGCAAGTCTCCACTTTGTGCCCATCGTAGTAAAGACTGGCTCAAGCAAGGACCATCAGTGGAAACTCACACTAGGAGGGCAAGTTTGGTAAGAAGCAGTGTATTTGCCTCACCTTCAAATGTCTCCCCAGAGTTCGCTTAGAAAGGAGAAAACGCTGCTTGTCAGGGCACCAACATCACTGGTCTGTAGACTTCAAGTATGTGAATGTCATGCAAGACAAAGGAAGGCTGAGGAAACATTACAAATTAAAAGATAAAAGAGACACGGCATCGAAGTCCAGTATATGATCCTTGACTGGATCATGTACTTGAAGGTAAAAAATAGTATAAAGGACATTATTGGGACAACTGACAACATCTGGAATAAGGATCAGCAATTTGACGGAAGTCCTGTATTGATGTTAAATTTCCTGAATTTGGTGACTGTACTGTGGTTATGTAAGAGAATGTCCTTGTTCTTAGGAAACACGTACTGAAGAATCTGGCCTAGAGGGGACGCGATATCTGTGACCTACTCTCTAGTAGTTCAGAAAAAATATAATATGGCGCATTTACACATACAGAGGGAGCAGTGGTTCTCAAAGTGGGATCCCTGGAGGAGCATCAGGCATCACCTGGAACTTGCTCGATATACAGATTCTTGGGCCCCAGCCCAGACCTCGCAAGTCAGCTGTCTTGTCTGTTCTAACAAGCCCTCCAGAGGATTCAGCTGCTCACTAGCTTTGGAAAACCACGGATACAGAATGATAAAACAAGTGTGGCGAAACATTTCTGGGGAAAGGGCACATGGCAGTTTTCTGGATCATTACTGAAACTTCTCTGTACCTTTGAAACTGTTTCAAAATAAAATTGAACAATAACAACAACAAAAAGGTGACCCTACGTAGAGAAGTGGAAAGGAAGAGACCCTGGGGGCAAGGAGGCAAATCAAAGAACCCCTGCCTCGACCTTCAAAGAGGTGGTGGGATTCGAGCCTCGGCTGCTGCAGCTCCAGTGCAGGGCGAGGGGCGGGGTGTCTGGCCTGCATGGTCTTCCAACAGCGAATCTCCTTCCTGTAGAAAGTACGGGCATGAAACCTACTGACCTGAATATGAGAGTCTGGCAATCTCTATAAACAGGTCTTCCTCAGAAAAGCTTTCGGGGAGCATGAGGAAAGCAGCAGTCACGGCACTCTTCAGATTTTTATCCAGGGCTGACCTGAGAGCGACATTCTCATTCATTGCTACGATTTTCACCTGGAAAAAGCAGAACATTCAGAAGAAAACTTCCAGAAGTGGAGTGTTGCCCAATCTGTGTGTTTACACATACACTGGAACTGTCCTAAACACTTAGCCCTGAAGATCTTTGAGTATTAGGCCAGTTGACATGAAATATTTATTATTCTAATAAGCAATTCCAGAGTCTCCTGTTTTAAGCCTAAATCAGAGAACTCGTGACATAGGAAAGAAAAACAAATATTGCTCTTAAATGAGGAAATTCAACATGAGTTTTGAAAAAGAAGTCAGCACAAAATGGAATAAATGACCTTTGGGAAATTTAGTATTTTTTAATTTTTTAATCTCATTGTTCTTCACTTAATTTTATGGTGGAAAAAGGCATTTTACTTCTTTATTTAGAACTCACCTCTGTTCTTAACCATACATAACCTAAGCAGGCCATGCTCTATTTTGAACTGATTTTGAACGTGACTAAGGAAAAGGGAAAGAAAATTAGCTACAGTAGAATCTGCTGTCTTTGACTTCTCCCAATCAAGATGCAAATTGCTCCAGTGTGTTCTGATTGGTTTTAAGGACTGCACTGCAGTTAAGAGAATGTGTTCAAGTCCTAGCTCCATCTCTTACTAGCTCTGTGACTATGGGCATCATTCCTTATCAGTAAAACAGGGTTAATAACCGAACCAAGCTTATAAGGTTGCTGGGAAGATTAAATGAGATGTTTCATCTGAAGCCGCAGCTGAAGTGAGATTCCTTGTGTGTTTCTTGGTGCACACACAAGCGTTTCTCTGAGCCAGGGGTTCTCACCTTTAGTAAGCGCCAGAATCTCCTGCAGGGATTGCTAAAACACATATTATGGGACTTTCCTGGGGGCGCAGTAGTTAAGAATCTGCCTACCAATGCAAGGGACATGGGTTTGATCCCTGGTCCGGGAAGATCCCACATGCCACAGAGCAACTAAGCCTGTGTGCCACAAATACTGAGCCTGCGCTCCAGAGCCCGCATGCCGCCAACTATTGAAGCCCGCGTGCCTAGAGCCCGTGCTCCACAACGAGAAGCCACCGCAATGAGAGGCCTGTGCACCACAACTAGCGAAAGCCCGTGCGCAGCAACAAAGACCCAACGCAGCCAAAAAAAAACCCCAAAACCCTACATATTATTAGGCCCATCCTCCAGTGTTTCTGACTCAGTAGGCCTGGATGGGGCCTGAAAATGTACATTTCTAACAGGTTCCCAGGTAACGTTGATGCTGCTGGCCCAGGGTCCACATTTTGAGAACCACTGCTCTAAGATGTATAATTACTTTGAACTAGAATTGCCAAATCGCTCTTTGTAGCGATCATGCCTATTTGCATTCCTGACATAATCTTAAACTATCATATTGCTTCTGACTGATTTTCTCAACAAGTGAAGGATCTAGAAATCCCTAATAAGGACACTCATGTATCTGAAATGTAACCACCATCTCTAAATCATTTAGTGCTGTCACCACATTTTTCTCATGCTCTAGAAAGTAGGACTTAAATTGCCTTTTATTTATCAAATATAATTTCTGACAAAATTCAGATGGCACATAAAAGACACATACAGTATGAGAAACTCCAAACTAAAATTTTATTAGATAGCAAGGAAAGACAGGAATGATGTATATCCCCAAGTATAGTTTCTTCTCTAATTTTTTTTAGTAATTGTGAAAAGCAATGTTAGAAAACATAACTATTTTATAAATCTGGCTTAAGAACCTAAAATCTGTCTTTTACCTTTTGTCCCTACTTTTTTTTAAGGGAATATTTATAACGAACAAACCTCTCATGTGATAGGTAAGCCACTTAATTCCATACTACCACCTCCTCCCTCATAATTACAAGGACTTAATGGCCCTGAATTAAGCCTTGCAGCATTTGGGCGAGTTCAGTGTTATTGCAAACATCTGCAGATAGTCAAAGCAAGGAGCAGTCCAGGAGCATGATCTGCCCAAGGTTGCATAATGAGTTGATGGCAAAAATCAGGGTAACACCCTTGTACTTGGCAAATCCAGATCTAAATATTTTGAGTTATCCTCATGCATTCTGTTCTTGTTAACTTTTAATCTTGAAAGATGATTAAAACAAAATTTAAGGTCCTATTATAATTCCTATGTCTATTCCTTGAATAACGTTCCTGCCTTATACTCCATACAGAATCAAGGATCTAGGAGGGCAACCTCCTCATCTCACTAACGGGGAAACTGAGGCCCAGGGGGTTAAGAGATCTCCCCACGAGGAACAGTGGCACACCGTACCAGGACCCAGGATTCGTGAAGTGAGCCTGTGAAGCCTGTTTACTTCCAAATTCCTATTCTTCATCCTCATTCACCAGGTCCTGCTCAATAATTCCTCACCCTCTTTTGTGTGTGTATGTGGGGGGCGGAATTTTTTAAAGAAACTCAATGAAAACAGAAGTTATTTTGAGATACTAACAAAGATGCAAAGGAAAAAGTTTGGAGAAATTTTCCTTTTCAATAAAATACCCTTGTTCTCCAAGAAAGTGTCTACGTGAGGTTGTTAAAAAAAAAAAAAAAGGCAGTCTGTTTGCTACTTAAGGTTAAGACAGTGAAAATAAAAGCACCCTTGCTCAAAGGAAAAATGTCAGTTCAGAAGACTCTACTGTGCTGATCTGGTTCTCCAGTGTAAGGTGAACTAGCAACTTGTCTCAGAAGCACTGTTATTTGTTGTTCAGAGTGAAAAGCCAGTGAACTCTTGGGACACTGCCAGAGAGGCCTGGGAAAAAAAGAAAGTCCTCAGATTTGTGAATAGCTGTTTGTATCTTACTGGGAATGCCCCGAACTGAACCACAGATATAGCATTAGCACTACTGCCAAGGGGAAAATCTTTACTGGAGAGAGGAAGGGGCAACACTTGAAGGGACTTTCAAAAGCCCAACTTGACAGATTTGTGAGTACCTTTCAAGATAGAAAAAAAGAGAAAGTCACATGTGGTCTCCTCTATAATAGTCACATGGAGACAGAGCTTGAATTGCAAAGAGTGAAGTTATGGTCACAAAGAACACAGTCCTACCTCGTGTTCAAATACTCGACCATTAACCAAATGACACTTCCCGCAGTAGTTTTCCATTCCAGATGAACAGAAAGGCTAATTTTTGCTGGAGGACCAAAAAGAAACAGTGAACATTTGAGGTGGATTTAAAACAACCTTATCATCTACCTGTTGGATTATGAGCTATTGAGGCTAGCAATGTGGTGGTTTTTTAAAAAAATTCTTTTGGCATGCACAGAGAAAAAAACTTAGTTGTCTTTTGAATAAGTAAACGAATGGCTTAATCTCTTCATTTCCAAGGCTAGAAGTCCAAAGATTTGCTCTCAGCCGGGCAGAGCCAAGACTAGTAAGCTGGGCTTTCCAAGTCCCATTCAGGGACCTTTTATACCACCGGGATTTTACTATCTACAAAAAAGTAAATCAACAAAGTTACAATATGGTGATGCTTGCAAACTGTGAATATACTAACAACCACTGAACTGTACACTTTAAAGGGCTGAATTATATGGTATGTGATTATATCTCAGTAAACCTGTTATAAAAAGCTATATGACTAGCAAGTAAAAGAGAAAATATATTGGAATGAATACATTAAAATAAATTAAAATGCTCTTAACAAGGTGGCAAAATACCATTGTTTGCCAACGTGAATGCTTTAAAGATTCAAGCCATGTTATCTATACATGAAATACAAAACATGAAATACAAAAATCCAACTTACATTAAATATATTAGAGAAGTGAAAAAACTACTTTAGACTTCTTCTGACTTAAAAAACGATTGGCCACAACAAGGTTCTATTAAATACTCTTCACGTTTCTTGACTTGGAAAACTGATTTGTAAATAACTCAAACTTAAAGCTGCACTAGAAGTAAAAATGAGTTATCTCCTCAATTATGAGGTAAGGTAATGGTAAAGTCTGATACAAAATTAATTTGCACTCAACTTTTTCCAGAAATGTCCATATTTTTAAGCCAAGTACTCCTTTATATACTTTTTTGATAGTAAACTTTATGTTTTAGAGCAGGTTAACGTCCACAGCAAAACCGAATGGAAAGTACAGAGAGTTCCCATATATCCTCTGCATATTCCTTTTAAAGACTTAAATTGCTAGTGACTATTTGCAATGTGGAAGATAACTGTAGAGCTTTAGACAATATAATTTAATGTAATTCGTTTTAAAACACATAAAAACAAAAAATTCACGCTCATTCTCACCATTCTTTCTTAAGATAGTCACCCATTATTTTTGTCCAAAATGCTACCAACCCTTTCTTTTCATCGGATTTGTTTCAAGTTTGATTAATATTTGCTGCCACCTAGAGGTAAAAATAGTTTAAAGATAGTTATCCTAAGAATTCTCCAGTTAACCGTGATTTCTGTGGGAAAGGGAAACTGGAGGCAGGTGTGGGTGGAAGAGTTAATTCACCCATTTATGATTTTTGATTTTTTAAAATCGTGTCATGTTCAACACCTCAAATGGTTTTTAAGATTGTTTAATTTTCTTGTGCTAGAAGCTTCTTAATAAGTCGGAGGGGTAGTCACTGTTATAAAGAACATTTTCTTCTCCAAGTTAGCTGAGAAATGCAGTTTTGTACGATCTGAGTGTAGCTCTCACTACTTGCCTTGAATTGATGTTTTTATTTTTTTAGGATACATGACATTTAGATGAAATGTGAGGTCATTTCCAGGGCTTACATTCTGAGATTTCATGGCATTATAGTTTTCTACAGCCTATTTCTAAAAAAACTTGAACTTTTCCAAGCACAAAACATAGTACAGAGAATAATATCACATTCAATATCTCATTTTATCTCAAAATAACTCTGAGACAGGCGAGGACAGAGGGAAGAGAAAGATTGTTTCCTGAGTGTCTAGTAGATGCCAGACATTTTAGATCTAGGCATTTCTCAAACACCTTTTGAGGTCGGTGTCACTGGCCTTGTCCCCAGGTGAGGGTGTCACAAGGCCCAGGGAGATTAAGTCACTGGTGCAGGGTCACACAGCTGCGGAGTGTCAGAGCTGGGACCCAAACCCCAGATCTGTCTGATTCTAAAACACCTGTGTCCTTTCCAGCATTACCATTCTGCTTCCAATTTTCAACACCTTTATGAAGTAGGCAGGGCAAGGATTGCTACTCCCATTCTACAGAGAAACTACCTGAGGTTCAGAAAGGTAAAACAACTTGCCTAAGATCACATAAACAGCTAATAAGTAGCAGATATGAATAAGGCCCAAGGCTTCTAATTCCACGTTTATTAATCTTCCCACCAAACTACATATTTGGTATATTTAAAAAGAAACTTGGAAAGAAAAGGAATATTTACAAATTTCCAGTTACATTTATTTGCGTAATTATGAGGCTTACTAGTTATCCAGCCTAGAAATGAGAAATTCATCTACATAAATATGAAATCAAATCAGTAACCTATTGTTTCCAGACTTAAAATTATATACTGTACAGTAAAGCAAACAAATCTAATCAGCACGGCTTGACAAATTTTTACACATGGATGTACCCGTAACTATCACCCTGAGCAAATGCTTCTGTATGTCTTAATGACCTACACTGTTAAATTTTAAGCCCAGATACAAGGCAAGAGAATCTGAACCTCCCACATATATCAACAGAGATTTTATGACACAACCAAGTAAGCTAGGACTGTATTAATTTCTTGCCATAGCTGACAAAAAAGGAGCAGCATAGTCACCCATGAGAGGCATTTGGGAATAATTCCTGAACCCTCTTTGGGACCTAAAACCCTCTGACAGCACAGAGAAAATTCTTCCTTGCTGGGAGATTAGCAACAGTGACAAATGCGAATAGTTCTTTTTTTTTTTAATTTTATTTTTTTAATTTTGGGGGCTGCACTGGGTCTTAACTGTGGCACGTGGGATCCTCACTGCGGCATGCAGGATCTTTCACTGCAGCGTGCAGGCTTCTCTCTAGCTGTGGCATGCGGGTTTTCTCTTTCTAGTTGTGGAGCGCAGGCTCCAGAGTGTGTGGACTCTGTAGTCTGCAGCACGCGAGCTCTCTTGTTGAGGCGCGCGAGCTCAAAAGTTGTGGCATGTGGGCTTAGTTGCCCTGTGGCACGTGGGGTCTTAGTTCCCCGATCAGGGATCGAACTTGAGTCTCCTTCATTGGAAGGCGAATTCTTTACCACTGGACCACCAGGGAAGTCCTCAAATAGTTCTTAAACTACGAAAATACCCCTTCTCAGAAAACAGACTATACAACTGCAAAATAGAGGAAACCTGATATCTGTGAATGCGAGTCAAAAGTTCAAGTCCTCTCGACTTTTTTCCTGTTTTCTGTTTGCTTCCATTTCTAGTAAAACCGGAAGAGAAGCCTGCCCCTACAGCCTCCTCCAGCAACGTCCCAAGTGAGGGTAGGGCCTGAGGAGCAGAATAAAGGGGATCAGAGTCCACTTGCCTCAGAATGATGACCTGTCTCATTTATTTATTCAACAAATATTTGCTGAATGCCTACTACATGCCAGGCACTGTCCCAGGCACTGTTGGGACAAATCACTGTACAAACAGTGCCCCATGGCACTTGCATTCCAGAAGAGGTGGCGATCTGGGGAAGCCAACAGAGGCTCCACCAAGGCACTGGACACCTCTTCTGCCATTCTCCCCAGCCAAACGGACTGACTCGGAACCTGATCCATTCAGACAACTGGAGAATCTTGAGAGGGAGGGAGGGAGCAGTGTGGGTAATACCTGGATACTATCTGGCAACACGTTCTGTAGGGAGGGAAAGGAGTGTGAAACTCATTTCTACGTCATTGGAATCACAAAGATCAAAGTAAGGTGAGGTTCAGAGAGGAGAGACATCTCTAATAAAACACTCACCGGCTTTTGGAGTCGCCCAGCAATGTATAAGTTATTCCAGTTGAGGAGATCTTCAATCAAAACACTAGTGCTAATAATGCCATATTTGATAAGCTGGAAAAGAAAAGAAATGGGCATGAAAAATAGCAAAATACCACACTGATGCTTATGCAAGTACAAAACATAAAGAAATAAAATAAATTTCTGACCAGAGCAGAAGCTTGATTTCCAAAGCCACTCAAACTGCCTACCTTGTAAAAATACACATCTCCACAAAATCTTTTGCAAAGGATTAGTTTCCAAGACTGTGTGTTTCCTCAGGTATTCGAGGTGAAGTGACCACTGTTTTAACTCAGGCTCTTGTGACGGTCCTTCACCACAGACGCTTCAAGAAGTGATAACACAGTTCACGTTTCCCATTTGAGAAAGAGGAAACCGGAAGCTCGGAGAGGATAAATGATGTGCCCAAGACGGCACCACATACAGCAGAGTTAAACTAGGTCCCTGAATTTCAGTCTGTGCTTCCAGTGTTTGCTTCACGACAAAGCACAAGAAATTTTCTCTAACGTTTTCACTGACATCCTTTACATGGTGAATTTCTCTTTCACTATAGGCTATTTCAAACACTTTTATAATCACAAAGCAACATTCAAAAATAAACCTCTTTATCAGCGCTGAACACATGGAATTACGGTCAAGCTCATTTCCATAGTAATTCACACAAACCCTGAATGCAGTTGTTCCAGGTTATGAAATCCCATTTGCTTAACAAATATCTTCAGACTCACTTCACTGAACTTCAGTACCCAAACAGCCTTCTCAGGCTGCAAATATCTAAAAAGTAGCTAAAGAATTTCAATTAAAAAGTACAGTCCCTTTGGCACATAATTATGCCCAAACATTGGGTTACTGGAGCTTGTAATATGATTTGAAACTACTTATTAGAGATCGGCTCAGCATAATGTTAATATGGAGAAAGTACACATCTACGCGTCTGGCAGGACTAGAGTGGATGTGCAAGGTTGGGCTGAATAACCTTCCCTCCACTCTGGCCACAGTATTGCAGACAGCCCTTCTTGCTGCAGGCACGTAACAGCTGAGAGCTAATGGGAACATCACAGGGGCCTGTCACTAACTAGCTCCAAGACCTTAGGGAGGTCATTTCCTCTCTCTGAACCTTGGTTTCCTCATCTGCAAACCACAGGTGGTGCCAGATGGGATCTTAACCAGAAAAGTAAATGTATGGCCCAAAGACGTCACCAATCAACCAGAGCACTCATTCCTGCCACATTCAGATAGGTCTTCAAAATCCTTCTCAGGTCAGTACTCCAACCTCCTGCCCTTCAAAGTGTGGTCCATTGACCAGTAGCACCAGCATCACCAGATGCAGAATATCAGGCTCCATTCCAGACCAACTGAATCAGAATCTGCATTTCAAAAGGAGCCTCAGGTGACTCGTCTGCACATCAAAGGATGACTGCTCTAAGCCATCAGCAGCATGGAGCAAAGCTGGCACAGCAGAGTCAGCTCTGACTCAGTTCCCCATTGGTCCTCTCAGACTGGGGTCCTGCCTAGTTCCTGGAAGCCCTTTTAGAGTCTGGGCCCTCCATATGAAAGACGGTTGGGCAGGGTTCCTGCTGTCACACAACCGTCTGCTGGGATCGGGGTTCTCACCTGCTCTCCAATACCCCTCATCAAATTCCACCCACCGGACGGCAACAAGAGGCACCACATGCTCCCATCTACCTATGAAACCCTCTCCTATGATACCCCCTCCACTTCCAACTTCTCTCTGGGAGTGTCTGCCCCTCTGTATGTAGATAAGATTAATTTCCACCCTGATCCACAGTGGGTCCGCCTATTCCTCCCACTGCCCAAACCAGTGGCTCTCAAAGTTTGTTTCAGACCAGTAGCATGAGCAACATGTGAAAGCTTGTTAGAAATGCAAACCTCTGTTGCTAAGAGAGTAAACCTTAAAAGTTCTCACCACTAGAAAAAAAAAAACAATTGTAAATACATGTGGTGATGGATGTTACCTAGACTTACTGTGGGGAATCATCTCACTATATATATATAATATATATATATATATATATATTATATATATATGTATATCAAATATATATATATATATTATATATATGTATATCAAATATATATCAAATCATTACGTTGCACACCTAAAACTACTACAGTGTTATGACAATTACCGGTCAGTTTTTAAAAAATGCAAATCCTCAAACCCTTACCCCAGACCTACTCAATCAGCAACTCTGGGGGTGGGAACCAGCAATCTGTGTGTCCTACAGGCACTCCAGGTGATTGTGATGCACACTAAAATTTGAGAACCAATAAAATTTGGCCAAAGGCAAAAAATAAAAACAGTCACATTCACCACCTTCATCCAGCAAAAGTGTGAACATTTCCGAACTGTAAGAACACATCTATTTAGCTGGTATTCTATTAACAAAGGTTAATAACCACCCAAGTTAAGACAAAGGCCCGCAGTCACTTACCCTCCCATCACACATGATCAATGGGTTGTAGTAAACCCCGGCGCCGTAGTTATTCTGGACAGCGGTGATAAACCTGGGCCCCAAAACTTTTAGGAACGAGTAATGGTTCCAATTTTTCTTCAGGTTTTTTGAATGCCATGCAACAGGGTCATCGACTGTGAACACGAAGTCCAGCATGGCATTCTGGGAGGTGAAGAAAAGAGAATAATTTTAGTTTTAATTCCTAGAAAGGCACCTAGGCAGAGTGGAAAGCTCTAAGACTCTATGCTGCTGTGATTAACAGCAGACCCAGGGCTGTCATCAGAAACTTAAGCAAGTCTCTGGAACCAATCGTTTTTGTCAACTCACATAACAGTAACACTTATTGAAGCGATGTTCCAGACCTCTTTTAAACACTTTATATATTATACATATAGTAACTCTTTTTAGCCTCAAAACAATCCTACAAGGTAGGTACTGTCATTATCCCATTTTTATAGGAAAGGAAAACCAAGGCAGAATAAGTTCCTTGCCCAAGGACACATGGCTACTGAGTGACACACATAATCTGGTTCCAAATTCTGGGCTGGACCACTTTGCCACACTGTCTTTCATCTAAACCTAGTTAAACGTGCCCTACTTTTCTCCCAGATCAAATAACACCATATGGACAAGCTCTATAAAGCGTTATGTAAAGGGAAATAAGTTATTTTAACTCTCACCCATTTGCCAACCCCTCACTGAGCACCTACGATGAGCTCTGATAGGTCCTGGGATAGAGGTAAAGACCTCAAAGTCTACTGGGGAGAATAGACAGGTTGCTAGCAAAAACTTGGTAGGAGAACACAAAATGCACTAATTTCACTCAGAGTGGGGTCAGAGAAGGAGGAATTTTCCTACAGGTTTATATTCTTCCAGACTCTGATAAGTCTGAGTCTTAAAAGAATGTGCAAGAGTTAAGCGGGCTTGGTGAAGTCCTAGGAGGCCTGAGGAAGGGAGTACTGTTAGAGGAAAACACTCTTGTGGAGATCTCTTGTGGAGATGAGAGCCGGTAGGACTGGAATGGGACGCAGGCAGGGGAGTGGCGGGAGGTGGGACCAGAGAGGGAGGCTGGTTGCCAAGCTAATGTTCCTGCAGTAGAAAGGGAGGAGGAGAGACTAAACGATGGAACACCACACGAGGCTAACTGCCACTAAGGCACTGAGGGCCGGGGCTCATCTGAGAGAGACTTAGGTGCTGGAGTTTACTTGTTAACTTGTAGGGAATGAGGGCGAGGGAAAATGAAGGACCTTTTCTTGGAGGGAATTCCAGGTCTGCTCAAAGGAAAATCTACACAGGAAAATGAAGAGGCGGCTATAGAATCAGGTGGCCAAGGCCTGTTCTGAGTTTCCCACAGTGTGATCTACAAACCAGTGGTGATACTTAAGATTTGGGGTGGACATGTTTTTAAAAAATTTATGTTAATGTATGTTACAAGAAAATAACTAGCTTATTGCAAACTACAATTAGGTTGCCTAACCTATATGCCCCAAATCTGTAATTTCTCATATGCTCTCAATTTAAAGAAACCTATTACTTAAATACTAGTATAGGTGGGAAACAGGAAATCCAAGCAACGGTACAGATGGCCTCACCAGGAAGCGAAGAGACGAAGGTTAACTGAAAGACAGATTACAGCCAGGTGTCCAAATCCACGAGGCCCTATTGCAAACTGCACACTACCATTTCCTTCATTTATTAAAGAAACCCAGTCCAGAACACGAGTTGCATAGACAGAAAACATCTCTATCTAGACTCCCACTCCTTTTACATTAATTCAGCAAGAGCTCAAAAGCTGTATCAGTCCATTAAAAGCCTCATTTAAATGGAAAACACCTGCCTGCCACTTGTCTGCTATGTCTTGAATCTTGTCGCCACCTTGGAAGCAAAGGTTTTTTTTCCATTTGCAGAAGAAGAAAAAAAAAAACTGCAATCACAAGGAAAACCGTACCCTCACTACTGTTGTGCTCAGCCAACTCTGAAGAGAACAATGCGTAGCCTTAAACAGACTCCTGTTAAATGTCCCGAGCAGGGGCAAATATACTGCTCATCACTAACTTCTGCGGTCAGTTAACGTCACTGCACATGCCCTGACCCTACAATCACTCCGTCAGCTTCCCGAAGTCAGGAGAATCATTTTGTATTTTCTCCTACAGCCAGAGACGTGATTCTCAAGCTTGGCTGCGTAGTAGAATCACCTGGGAAGTTTTTAAAATTCCTGAAGCCCAGGCTCATCTCAGACCAATTAAATCTCAATCTCCGCAGTTGGAACCCAGCTATCAGTATTTTTTTAAGCTTCCCAGAAAACTCCAATGTTCAGCCAAGGCTGGGAACACTGAACTAGCTCCGGGCAAATATTTCTCTTCCTTTCTTCCATCTTGTCCCCGCCATCAGCTCTTCCCTGCGCATGACTGCACCTCCCGCTCCAGACCTAAGCTGACTCCTACGTATCCTTCAAAACTCAGCTGACGCTGTCGTTCTACTAGGAGCACTTTTGTACGGCTTGTACTTTGCCAGTTGATACGTGGAGTGCGCAGAGCAAACAGGTAGCTCTACGGCTCTGGAGGGACCGAAGGCAAAGGGAACTCGTGAGAACATTCCCGGCGTGGGGCCGACCCAGGCTCACCTTCTGGTCTGAGCTGGGCCCCGCCTGGCGGTACACCCCCGAGCCGTAGGCGAAAGCGAGGCTCAGCTCCTCGGGGAAGTGACACAGGATCTTGCGAAAGGCCACCCCCGAACTCTGCAAAGCCTGCAGAGCCATGGGGCCGGGGCTCTGACAGGGACCCTTGGAGGACAGCAGGCGGGAAACGAGTACCCGCTAAGGGTGGGAGATGGAAGCCGGGGACCAGCCCAGACGGGAGAAGGCTGGAGCCGGGAGCGGGGAGTGGAGAAGCCGGCAAGGACTCGGGGCTGCAGATCAGTCAGACACGAGGCCGATAGGCACCCAACAGGGAACCGGGTAGGCGTCGGTCTGGCCGGTCTAGCGCCCACCCCGGGCCACGCCTCCTGCACGCACACGTGCTCCGAAGGCGCAAGAGTAAGAGCAGGCGCTCGCTCTCGAGCGGGGACGCGAGGCCTTCGCAGAGGTCCCTGGTGGTCGGAGGACCGCACTGCAGGCTGGCAGCCTGGGACAGTGACCTGGACATGAGTGGGGGAAAGTAACAGCTGATTGAACTGCTTTTGAACCTTAAAAGTTCTTTTTTGGTCTCGCCTCAAACCACATTTTAATAAGTGACTAGGAAATCATGCATGTAGTATTGCAGACGATCTTTCTGATGAGGTGAAATTCACAAAACCTAAAATTGTATGCTTTACAATTCAGTGGCTTTTACTGCATTCGCAACGTGTGTAACCATGTCTCTATGCAGCTCGAAAACTGCAGAAGATTTTGAAGGTTTAAGAAAACACAAATAAGATTAAAATCACTCCCAATCCCACCATCCAGAGATTATTACTGGTAAGAGTTTGCTGTGCCTTCTTGCCATTAAAGTCCTTTTCAGATCCGATAATGGGTATTAAAGTGTTCCATAAATGGTAAAAGCAAAAACAACAACAACAACAAAAAGCCTGCACCAAGGTTCTCTGATATTTGTATTTAATTTTAAGCATGGGGAGGAGTATTTGCCCCTTCGTTTTGTGGACTGGGCTCACAAAAGGGCACATTAAATGCAGTTTCTGGTGGAAACGGGACCCCAGGTGAAGAGCTCACCTCTTTGTGTATAACTAGAGAAACTTGCTCCAGGTCACAGGGCCATTCAGGATGTAGTTTGAGTGCCCAGACAGAGACTTTTCAGATACTCTTCCCTTCTTCCCTGATGCTCATGTCCTCTCAACAATAACAGAAGTAGTAATAGCTAAATTTGGGTAACGGTGATGCACTCACATGCCTTTTTCATTGACTTCCCTCTACTGCCTTGTGGGAGGATGTGATTGCCTTCATTTTACAGATGAGGCAGCTAAGCGTTAGAGAAAGCAATGTGCTTGGGATCACATCAGCTTGTGGCAAAACTGGAATGAAGAATCTGGCTCCATGTCCATCGACTCCACTCGGTCCTTGAAGGGTTTTGAGCAGGGACCTGTCAGGCTCAAATGTTAGCCTGGATCAGAGTGGGGAAAGAGAGGCAGGGAGACCAGTTAGGAAGCTGTTACCATAGTTTCATTGTGAATTAAGTTGCCTGGCCTGGGGTGATAGAGGCAGGGATGGGATTAATTCAATTTGAAAAATGATTATTGGAATTCAAACTCTGAGGTAAGTCAAGATGACTAGGAATGATGCTTTGCAGGCACTCAGGGTCTATGGAGGAGACAGACAAGCAAACCCAGAATATAACATGCGGTGGTGAAGCTGGGTACCCAGTGCCCTGCAGGACCTATGATGAGGGAGCGTCAATCAGTTCTGGATGTGCAGGGAGAGACCAGAGGAGATTTTGCAGTGATGGCATTTGAGCCAGGCCTTAAAGGATGGGTAGGAGATTATCAAGAAGAAGACAGATGGGAGATTCTACCAAGGAAGGATCGATTGATAGGACAATAATAATAGGTGACAATTGCTTATTTTCTATTCCAAGCATACTTATCTATTCTCTTCATTCCAAAGACCCCTGAGGCAGGTTCTCTTAGACTATCATTTTTCACAAGAGGAAACAGACCACCTAAGAGGAGAAGCAGATTTCCCCAGTCCCACAGTTAGGAGTGTGGCAAAGTCAGGATTTGAACCCAGGGCTCCTGAGCTCCAAAGGCCGAGCTCTTTACCACCTTGTTTCAGAGCCTTCTAAAGTGGGCAGCTTGTGGGCGTCCCTGGTGGCGCAGTGGCTGAGAGTCCGCCTGCCGATGCAGGGGACGCGGGTTCGTGTCCCGGTCCCGCAAGATCCCACATGCCGCGGAGTGGCTGGGCCCGTGAGCCACGGTCGCTGAGCCTGCACGTCCGGAGCCTGTGCTCCATAACGGGAGAGGCCACAGCAGTGAGAGGCTCGCATACCGCCAAAAAAAAAAAAAGAAAAAAGAAAAAGAAATAAAGTGGGCAGCTTGTGAGGCAAGGGAAGGGAATGGGAAACCAGCTGGTTTTACTCCATCAACCAAGGTTGAGGAGCAGCTGCCATGGCCACCACAAGGCCAGAAAGAGGACGGCAGAAGGGAGACACAGTGCGGCTCAGTATCCTTCTGGGAACACAGGCATTTTGGTTCATTCTGACTAAACACTACCCTTGCCCAGATGGCCAGAATCTGAGATGCACTCACCGTGGAATTACACTGACACCTTTCACTTAAAGATAGTGAATAAATCTCTGCCGGCATACTTCTTTTCTTTTTTTTTCTTTCTTCCCTTGAGGAAATAATTCAGCTTTTTTTCCCCCCCCTCTCTTTGCAAAAGTAATCCATACTCATAAAAATGTAAACATTACAAAAATCTGGATACCATCCCCCAGAGATCGCCACTGGTAATCTTTGGTACATATTCCTCAACATAATTTTCTATGAATATATTAACATTAAAAACATTTTAAAATGGAAGCACATGATAGATACTCTTTTGCAATTTGCTTTTTTTCATTTAAAATATCATGGACACCTTTCCATATCAGAATATATAGGTCTATCTCATTCCATTTATTAGCAAAATTTTCTAAAATATGGATATGCCATCCTTTGTTTAAACATTTTCATGTTGATGGATACAGATTATTGCCATTTTTTTGTACATGCAAACAATGCTACAGTGAACATCCTTTTACATAGAGCTTTGGAATATACGCAAGTATTGCTAAAAAGGAGATTCCTAGAAGGGGACTTGCTGGGTCAAAGTGTCAGGACATTGCTAAAGTCCCCTCCAAAAGAATTGTACCAATTTCCACTCCCACCAATGGAGTTCAGCCCTGGATATAAATAAAGATTCTGCAACGTTTCTCCGTTTTTTTTACCTTGCAGGCTTTCACACGTAATTATCAGTAATTTTCGTTTTCATAAACACTTTCCTTCCTGATAATGCATAAGCACCAACTGGAAAGTTCCATCACGTTCCTGTGTGCATTTCGCCTCTCCCCGGAAAGAGGCAGAAGCAATGTAGCAAGAACACATTTGTATTCTTCATCAGAATTCTCCCTGCTCCTAGCAGCTCATCCACTTCCTTTTAAATTACCGTGGCTTGCTAAGTTAGAAGCTATTAAAAAGCTCCAGTGTTCTATATAATCACTTTAGGGTTCTATTGGAACTCTCATACCAATGAAATAAAAGCATTAGAGAGCCATTTTTAAAATATAGATAAATGCCACTTGACTGCATGTTGATCTCATTTTTCTGACTTATCCTGCTGTTGGCTTTGTGCTCCTTAACAACGACCAAGTCAGGCTAGGTTTCACCAAGAGAATGTTCACCTATTCCATTTTCTAAAAAACCCTGTGAAATCTCTGAAACTTTTATGCCTTAGTTTTTCTTCTAATCAGTGTTTAAGTAAAAGGCATAAAGTGTTTGGGAAAAGAAACTTCAGGTACTGCGATCCTTACAATTAACCAAATTTTCAGTTGCCCTGCTAATGGACGTAAAGGAGAAAGGTCTTGATCTGTCTCATCAGAGGTGGTTCACCTGCCACATCTGTCCATTCTCAGCTGATGGATGTGTCAAAACTGGGCCAGATTGAGAGCATCTTTAATACATTTTTAGTCTCTCATCGGGGCGCTGAGAGACCACCTGAGTTTGAATCAGGGCCCCAGGAGTTAATAGCTGTGTGACCTTGAGCAAGACAGCTGAAGATCTCTGTGTCTTCTGTTCCTCATTTGTAGGATGGTCACGCAAATAATACCTACCTTTTAGCATTGATGGGACAGCCAATGAAATAGTATCCAGAAAGTGCCTGCCACAGAGCAAGCTCTCAGTAAATGTTCTCCGTCGTGTTGGATTCTGAAGAGACAATGTACAAGAGGACTTAAGAAGCATAAGAATACCTAATATCTTTATGGCACTTAGCATTTTGCACAAAGAACTTTTCCAGACATAGTTTTACTTAATTCTTAAAACAAATCCTGGGAAATTAGTGTTTACTAGTCTGATTTTACAGATGGATAAATTGAAGTGTAGAATAATGAAGCCATTTGCTTGAAGTCACAACAGAGTGCCAAATCTAATTCTTTTCCTCTTGTACCATAAAAATAACACAAACCGTTTATTTTCCCAAGGGATTCATTCATTCATTCATTCTCCCATTGAAATCTTCCTCTTCCTCAGTTCAAATATCACTCCCTTCTAATCAGAAGTAACTGTTCTGTCCTCCATGCCCACATGTAACCCTTTGCTTATAGCTCTCCAGCCCTGGTCTTAAATACAAAATGTGTCCATCAAGAACAGTTATAAAAGGCTTGGGGACTCTCCGAGGTCAGGGGCCATATCTTATTCATATTTCTATCCTTTAGTACCTAGCACAGTGCCTGAAACAAAATTTCTGCAATTGAGAACATCATAGACATGTATAAAACCAATTACAGTAAAATACAGAGATGGTCTGTACCATACCTGTGGTAAGACAGCTCTTCAAGGATTCTGGGAAAGCTTCTTGGCACTGTGTTTTCCAATGAAGTTCTGGAAGATCACACTCTTACAGTACTAAAGAAATGAATGAATAATAGTAGAATTTCAGGGAACAGAACAGGTGTCTCATCTGAGAGGTAGTATAATACAGTGGTCAAGAGTATGGACTCTGGGGCTTCCCTGGTGGCGCAGTGGTTGAGAGTCCGCCTGCCGATGCAGGGGACACGGGTTCGTGCCCCGGTCAGGGAAGATCCCACATGCTGCAGAGCGGCTAGCCCCGTGAGTGATGGCCGCTGAGCCTGCACGTCCGGAGCCTGTGCTCCG